CCCTAAACCCCTAAACCTTAACCCCTAAACCCCTAAACCCCAACCCTAAACCCCTATAAACCCCTAAACCTTTGGACAGTTCAGGCCAAGGAGCGTAGGCCGAGCAAGGCCGCAGCAGCCGCAGCGCCACCTGCCAGGAGACTTTGGGAGTCTCCGAAAATTAGGAGTTCCTTTAAAGGGATCCTTTTAAGGGTTCCTTAAAGGGATCTATAAGGGTTCTATAAAGGGTTTCGGGTTTAGAGTTTCCGAGAATTAGGGGTATTTGGGGGACCTTATGATAAGGATCCTACTATTTAGGGTAGTATATTGGGGAAACTCACAATATTGGGGTGAGTTTAGGGGCTTAGAGGGTCGTGCATAAAGCCCTCTTTAAGTTGACCTTGGGATTTAGCTTTGGTGAAGCTTCCCCTCTATGATTTGTGGTTTCGGGTTTAGGGTTTAGGGTTAAGAGTCAAGGGTTTCAGCACCCACACTCGGACATGCCTGGGCGAGGATCCTGGTACACGGCGAACAGCACAAGGGCTTGGGGACTCGCACTTGGGCACTCCAAGGGTCTGGACCCTCGCAATTCAATGGCTTTCGGGGATTAAGGTGTAGGCTGCTAGGAGTGAGGGCGCGCATCCGAAATTATACCACAAGCTGCAATCCCAAGTACCTTGCTTTGCAGTTCTACTACATCTGCTTTCGCAGGGTGCCGGATAAGGAGGTACTTCAGCATGTTCCGTACCAGCTCACAAGCAAGCTCTGAAGGCAAGCGCGCTTTCACAGGGCACAGCGTAGAATTCTGCCACCTTCGCGATCTTTTCTATGGCGCTTCTTGTCTTTCTCGGCGATTTCCAGCGCCGATTCTGCATCAAGACAGGCGGCAAGCCGCAACACCACAACACAAACTGCAAAGGACTGCAGTCTCGAATTGATGCGATCACACCAACTTGCAGACGAGAGTCTGTTGAACATGGTGCCTCTCTTCTTGCGGTTGGGAGCATTGGTGCTGCTGCTGCTGCTCGAACTGCTGCTGCTGGTGCTGCTCCTGAAGGACGGCACAAATGGACCAAGCATGGAACCCGTTGAGCTCAACTGCTTCAGAGCGACTTCTTCTTCTTTTTCTTCTTGCTCTTCTTTTTGCCTCGCTGCAAATTTGTCATTGCAGCCCCTAAATCTTTTTTGCATCCGGGCTCGGGAAGTCGGCCGAGGAAGGTGAAAGGCAACAGCAGCATCGCGCCAAGCTAAACCTAAACCCTCAACTCTAAATCCTAAACCCTAAACCCTAAACCATTGGGAAAAGGAAGCTCATTGAAACTGTGGCCAAGTCGCTCTTCTTCTTCTCCTTCTCCGAGCTGCTGTCCTCCCTGATGAAAGTGCCAAGCTTCATGTAGGTAATTATTAGAATAGGGTTGGGGGGTTCCTTAACACATTTCTAGTATAATCTACCCCAAACCCCATTCTATTTCATTGAGTGCCCCTCACACTCGGACAGTCCAAGCGAGGCTTTTGGTCATGAGCCGGCACGGTTTAGGGTTTCCGTGTGAAAATCGCCGATAGGCGACTGCATCCGAAGAAAAGACTTGCCATGCGGCTTTTGCTGGTTCAGTCGGGTTTGGGGTTACAGTTCATCACAGTGCATCCTTAGCTGTCAGACAGATGAATGGGAGCCACGGCACGGAGGCAGAACACTGCAGATTCTAAATCCTGAACCCTGGGAATCCTAAAGAACCCTGGGAATCCTAAAGAACCCTGGGAATCCTAAACTGAACCCTGGGAATCCTAAACCCTAAAAGCCCTTTTCCCGAAAGCCTAAAGCCCTAAACCCTGTAGCTGTGCAGGTCTCTGGTGCTTGCAACGTAGCTGCCCTAAACCCCTGAACCTGGCTGTAAGCCCCTCACAACCCTAAACCCTATAGACCCTCATTCCAAAATCCCAACCCCTACAAACCCTATAAGCCTTACAACCCTACTAGTCCTGAAGCCCTTTTTGCAGCAGGCCTCGTTGTCCAGCAGCCCGGTCCGAGCGAGTCGTCTTTACACTTCAGGACTAAACCCTAAACCGCACCCCGCCCTGGCCTCTGGCCCGCATCCTTCACCAACTCTCTGAGCTTCCTGAAGAAAGCAGCTGAAAGCTGGATCTGCTCATGGTACTGTTGATGATATAAATCCTGCACGACCCATAATAAGGAATATACCATAATTCCCATGTATTCCGTATTATGGGTAATGCAGGATTTATATCATCAACTGTAGTAAGGCTTCAGAGCGTAGGGTGTTTTTTCCTCCTACCTAGCAAGGACAAAGCCCGCATTGAGGGTTTGGGGTTTAAGGTTTGGGGTTGAGGATTTAGGATAACATTGCCTTTCCACATCTCAACTTCCTGAATACAGACTGCATGCAACAGTGGCTTGCAGTAATAGTAAGAACGCTCTTGTTTTTGCCGTTTCCTTTGCTGTCTCAACCATGCGGCCGTCTTGCTGAGACTGTGTGTCTTGCTCCCGTCATTGGCCTTGTACGGTCATCTTCTGTTTCAGTAGAATGTATTGGCCTTGCGTGCATTCTTGTTCCTGTTGCTTAACAGCCTAAACATTAGGGAGTTTCCGAAAATGGGGGCACCTTATTTGGGGTCCTTATAATAAGGGTCCTACTATTTAGGGTACTATATTAGAGTCCCTTGTTTTCGGAAACTCCCATTACAGTCGTCAACCCTAAACCCTTTTTTGGAACCCAGACTCTGCTAAGCTGGGAAGCAGCACCCTAAACCCTAAACCCTACGACCCCCCCTAAAACCCTAAACCCTAAAACCCTTAAAAAACAATAAACCCTAAAGCCTAAACCCTAAAACCCTTAAAAAACCATAAACCCTAAACCCTTAAAAAACCATAAACCCTAAACCCCAGACCCTAAAAAACCTCTCCAAGAGCTTTCCGAGCCCCCAAGCTGGTCGGGATCTTCGACCTTGAAGCAAAGGGGAAAAGGAGGGACCCTTAAAGGGCACCCCTGCCCTATAATGGGCTATGTACCCTATATATGGAATGGGTATATACTAGCTATATTAAGGGTATATATCCTTGGATTCAAGCAACAAGCAAGACAGCCCAGGCGGGGGCGGACGCAAAGGCATGGCTGAGCTGCTTGTCAGAACATGCCAGAACGGTTTCGGCGCTCACACTCGGACATGTTTCTTGCTAAGGTGTCTGGTGGTTTCTGGCAGGCTCAGAAAACAAAAACCTTGAAACCCTAAACCCTGTTCCCTAGACCCTAAGCCCTACCTTGCTCCCTAACGCCGAAAACCTGAACCCTGTTCCCTAAACCCTAAGCCCTTAGCCCCAAGCCCTGTTCCCTAAACTCCTAAACCCTGAGCTGTTCTCTAAACTCTTAGCCCCAAATAAACCCCAAAGCCCTCAACCCCAAAACCCTAAACTGCCCTCAACCCTTATAGATCCCTTTAACGATCCTCTTTTGCTCTAAAGCCTAAACCCTGGGTGAGCTGACCCAGCGTCCCTTCAACACTCAGCAGTGGACTTCAGCTTCCGCGGCTTTCAGGTTCTCCGCCTGATAAAGTTGTCAACTACACTATCTTGTTGTTTGTTATGTTTTATGTTTTTGTTAGTTTTAGTGTTATTGTTATTGTTGTTCTTATTGGTAGGACCATTATTGCAACTTTGGGGTGCTTGCGAGTATTGCGACAATGCAAGCAAGATTTAGCTGTTTCTGCTGGCTTATCCCCGGGCCTTGCAGAAGAGCTTCTCGCCATCCAGGTCTGCTGCAAGCAGCTTGCACTCATAGGTCCCAGATGTCGTGTCAAGTGACACAACTTCCTTACGAGATGCATTGCGTGGTCACGGTAGTTACAGCTGTAGGTTTAGCAGTAGCACTAGGCGTAGAAGCAGCAGCGATGTCAAAGACGCTCATGTGAGCCTTAATCCTCAACCCAGTCGATGCCGTCGAGCATCCGCTTCCGCACCTTCTCTGCCATCAAAGCCCTGGATCCTCGAAATATGAGGCTCAGGGCTTAGGAAGCTTAGGATTTAGCTAAACCCTCAACCCTATTCCCTAGGCCGTTTAGCACTTAGGGTGTACGGTTTCAACACTCACAACTAGACAAGCAGGAGAGGATCCGGGTACACAAGCATCCAGCACATTGGCCACTCTCAAGCATCATTTGGCTTCAGAGTCATCCTAGCCGTATCCTAGGGATGGTGAGATGGGTGTACGTTCTAGGTCCATTCTAGGTGTTTTGGTTGCGGGGGTCAAAGCTTCACGGAGCCAGAGTCACAGGCAGATCTCTCTCGCACTCCTACGTTTCTGGGTGCTGGTGGGATGAAGATACTAGCAATAGTCATAATAATACTGATTGTATAATAACGGTATAATAACAATAATCATAACTTAATGGGTCATAATAGTACTGATGGTATAATAGTGAGAATAGCTTCCTGCCTGAGTGAGGACGAAGGCTTTGGCTTAACCCAGTCGCCGACTGTGCCGTGGAATGAGAGCCCCAAACCCTAAAACCCATCTCCTAAACCCAAAACCCGCAACAGAGCAGCCTGCTAGCATCTTGCTCTAAGTCCCGTGCACTACTCGAGCGCCGACCTCGAAAGACATCGTGGCCCCCGGCGCGCGGCTTTGGAGTATCGAATCGAAGAATGCTATATCCTAGACCCTAAGTTCCATTAGCTCGGCATAAGAGGCCTAATGAGCCTAATGATAAGAACACACTCAACTCATACTGTTGGGCTGAAGCTGAGATTATCGTGTGCCGAGAACCTCTCCACTCTACTACAACGCCGAAGTGGGATTTCGGCCGAAGTGGGAGTTTCCGAAAATAGTGGACCCGAATAAATTACCCTAAGTAGTAGGATCCTTATTCTAAGGACCCCAAAATAAGGTACCCCTGATAATCGGAAACTCCCAAGTGACAGAGCTCCTCCCTTATTCCTCCCTTGACAACGATTGCAAGGCTCTCTGGAACTTGGGGACTGTAAGCCAAGATTCCGACGACACCAGGGCTTAGTGCATCTGTGCGCTTGAAGCCACGGCTGACTGCTGTTTGTTTTCGGAGCTCGGCATCCCTCGCGACTGTGACAGGATCAGAGCCATGTACCTTGCCTTCCAGATGCAAGATCCTGTCTTGTGCCAGTAAGGCCTTGTTCGCTGAAGCCGAAGAATCAGGTATCCACACAGACAGAGCGGGACTGCCGAGGCAGATCCAGTCTTTTTAGGCTGAGCCGGACAAATGCCAGGCAGCACGTCCAGAAGCCCTCGGCCGGCACACGCGATGGACTGGAAGCGCGGACGAAGTACGAAGGGATCTTGGACGAAGATGGCGACCAGCACTTACACCAAAGGACCAACACACCACACACCATAAATGCATGGTAGCACAACTCTGGGGATGCGACGTCCGAAAGGTACCGCAGCCACAGCTCCTTGGAGGTATTCCTTCTGGATGGGTGGACCTGGCACGTCACCATGCCAACCTTCGCCCACTGCATGCATGTCAATGTTCAATATTCATCAGCCCAGCAATGTAGCCTAAGCCGTCGGGGAAGGCTGGCAGCTGCGGCATTTGCCACAGAACTTGGCTATGACTTCTCACTTCCACATGCCGTTTGCAACCACCTACCGGGCGGTGCGATCGCCGAATCGTGGTACCACGCCTTGAAGCCGTCCCCCGCCATAGATCTCGAAGAAGTCCGTGAGGATGATGGAGCACTCCGGCCTAGAGATCAATCGAAACGCCAAGGAACCAACAAAACCGACTCAACCAAAAGCTTTGGGACACCAGCGCAAAGTATGGCACCATACCGCCCGTCATGATCGAGGGCCCCTTTGTATGCAGTATGCCTTGACACACTGGGAGGTTAAATAGGGGACCATAATATAGTACCCTAAAACAGTAGGATCCTCATTATAAGGACCTCCAATAAGGTACCCCTAATTTTCGGAAACTCCCACCAGCATGAATGCACCAAGGTTGAGGCCGTTCTTGCAGCCTTGACTTGCAAACCACTCAGCGAGGAAAGAGATACATATGTTGGCTTCTTGCGAGGGAATTTAAATTAAGTTACGATAACGGGAATCTATAGTAAATGATTATGGTAACTTAATAATTCATCCTTAAACAAGAACCCAGCATGTCGGAAGCCTACGACGCTCCAAGTTCCAGGTCCGGTCTGCTGCCAGCACAACAATATATTACTTGCAACAGTGACTAGGACTACGGTTTCAGACAGTCTCCTGTTGGTGGTAACAAGCGGAATGCGACGATGAAGACATCCGCGGAGTAGATGTTAATGCCTTGCGATCTGAAGAATCCTTCACACCACCGCGTCTTGCTCTAAGTCCCGTGCATTACTCGAGCGCCGACCTCGAACGACATCGCGGCACCCGGTGAGCGGTGTTGAGGGATCGGGTTTAGGGTTTTAGGGTTTGGGGTTGAGGGGTTTAGGCATGGCTAAAGGGAAAAACGATGCTTCTGAAGGTTTAGGGCGAAGCTGGGCTGGGCTGGGTAAGGCTTTCTAATCACAGGAGGTGGCTCTTGAATCCATGGGTTTCGGACCTTCCCCCTCAGTGGTGACCAGGTTTAGGGTGCTTTATGGAGAGCGGCCGATTTGCAAGGGCTCCGAACCTCGGCGAAAGACGGATTGACAGGGGCCAAGGAAACAGATCAGAAGGGGGCCTTGGACCCTTTGGGCAACTTGAATACCAACCTCACGAACTACTCCCTACTTCAGACCATGGGGCCGGCCGATATTTGCCGATGCCCATGCGATGAAAGGGGCACAGCTGAGAGTTCGGAAACTCTTGGAGGGCGTGTTTTTCGCCATGTTTTTCACCGAGGATGCTCTGAGAGCATGTGGAGTCGAGTCTTAGAGTCCTCGCTGGAAGCTGGAACACAGGCCATGAACCCTTGGGGGTTCTAGTGCACTTCTTCGTCCAGGATCCCTTCCTCCACGTTTCCATTTCATCGAGTGCAGCCGAAGGCTTCTGCCCCTTTTCCTAAACCCTGAACCCTAAACCCTAGTGCTCTGCTAGGAATTTTCATGGCTCAAGGGCTCCAGGCCGCGGGCCCTAGGGGTCTCGGTCCTCCCCTGAGTGGGGAAGCTGTAAGGATCAGAGATCGCCGAGGGTGGCACCGACATAGGCTGATCGGTCCTGGCTGCACGGGAGATGCCGGAAACTTTGCGAAAATGATCAGCATGCATCCAAGCGATCAAGAAGACCCGGAAGCGTTCATGTCAATTGCATCCTGCATGCATCCGAATCCAGTCACCCTAGTCCAACACCCTCATCTCTTCCCCACCTGCCAGAATCTTCACGACGCCAACAACTCTATGCTTGAAAACCTTAACCCGACCCTTAACCCTCTTCCAAAATGCCCCAACGGGCCTCGGGAACCCTCGGCTTCGCCGCCCGGCAAGTCTGGCAGCTCTGCCTCAAACCGAAGCCGCCAGGGTCCGTGCTTTCGGATCATCAAGCGAGGTGCGGGGTTTCTCAGATGTCCCTACGATCGACTTACCTTCAACCTGCGCACATGAGGGCTTCAACTGGGACGGTCAAACACAATGCAAGGATGAACCAGTGGTCCGTGATCCGGGCAGGCTTGTCCATCCGACACTCCCCCCTTGAAAGACTTTCAAAGGGAGCTGTAGCGCTGCCCGCCTGTCTAGCCAACAATTCGGGCGCAGGCTCTGGGCCGAGAACACTTCTGCAACTGCTAACTGCTCACTCTAATTCGGCACCCATCGCAAGCAGGCAGATTCGCCTTCTCTGCAGTCAGCGCCACTTGCAATTCTGCAAACAGGGACGGGCTTGATCTTCTGCAGTTTGTGCGAATACTGTTGAAGAATGCTTCTCTTAGACTCTTTTAGCTCTAATGCCAGCTACTGGCTCTTGCCGCTGCAGGAAGACTCTCTGCATGTCCGGGCTACTGCAGGGAAATGGTCTGGACAAGGCTCAATCGGGATACGGATACAGCGAAACCCCGATTTCATGGTTTCCCCTTCTGCGCAAGGCCAGCCCCACGTCCTTGCATTGAAGCTCATGCTCTACGCGGTAGGCGTCAATCTTCACATCTTCGCAGCCTCCGCCCATCACATAGATGTTCCAAGGGTGTTCTTCAAACACAGAAGCAGTCGGCCTCCAGTTGCCCTGCGCAATGCGCATCCGGACCCTTTTATTCAGCCACCAGTACTCCCCCTGCTTGAACTTGAAGGTCATGATGCCTTCTAGGGCGAAGTTCAATTTCTCAAACGTCTTCTTTTTTTTTTGGAGGCTCAGGAATTCGTCTTTGGAGCTGGTACCCGCATGGAAATCTGTGGCAACCATCTCGGATGAGTGTCTACCACAAAGAACCTTTACCCTGTTGGGTTTGTCACTCTCGTCGTCGATGACACAGCGCTCTTCCATTGGTTGGCCCGGAGTGATGCTCCACCAAATTGGATGGAACTTGACCCCGTCCAAGGTTGCACCTTTGAACCCAAGGAAGTCCAAGTGGTTGTCCCGTACTGCGACGTCTGACACATTCCACCTTTCCACTTTCTTGTCCTTGTCTGGGATGCAAAGTCCGTCCGTGGTGTACTGAATTCTTCCACTGGTGGACTTGCGAGGGGATTGAACGGACAGAAGGGAGTCACAGTCATCCTCCGCAGCTTCTGGAACAGCCAGGAGAACCATCAGGGCCCATGCGTACTTTAACGCGGATGGGCAAGGCATTTTTGCCTGCAAATCGAGGTGAACCCGCTTGTAAACCTTGAGCCTACTAGCTAGTCCCAGCACATCCCAGCTCCTTGTGCACTCCATGACCCATGCACAGCCCCGCAATTGCCTCCTGCAGGCACGTCGCTTCACAGCTACACTGACTCGTCTTTGCTTCACATCTGTGATCTTCGCACACTTCATGCTACATAACACACAATCATAACAATTCATCTCTGTGTCCCTTGCCACATCTTCAAGCCAACTCTCCTCGCCACGGGCCTCTTCGTGGACCTCCGTCTTCTGCCATGAGCCATCCCGTGCAAGCACCTCGCCTCACCAGGTTTAGGCAAAATCAAATACCCAGCAACACTATTCAGGCCCTGCCGAGATAATAAGGCAGGAGGAAACTCAGTCACTGTTTTACTCTGGAGGCCTGAACTCTGCGCCACAGCGAGCCTGAGCCTCTCCAGAGGCGGCGCTGGCGGCTTTGGCCTCCCAGCTTGCGGGGCTTCCGCTCGCTACTTCGCTTCTTCTTCTGCAAATTTATGGCCTTGCCTTGGCACAGCGCTTCTCTCTCGAATCGAGCTTTCAGCGCCTCGCGTTCCACATGCCCCGAGCACAGTTGACGTCCAACAGAACCAGGAGAAGGCAGTCGACTCCAGATTCTTCGTGTTGCAAAGCTGCCTCCATGGCAGCCCGCCCCTCCAAGTCCACCTGTTCGCGGCTTCTCTGCTTTTCTCTGAATCTACTGCGCATTCCTCAATCAATATATATATATATATATACGTACATACATACAACAATCTCATATACATATAAGTCTCTCTCTATATGTATATATGTATATACACACATAACACACACATATCTATATATATATATATATATATATATATATATATGGGTACCCCCCTATATGGGGTCCCCTGGGTTTTTGCACACCACACCCAACACATTAAACCATTAAACCATTAAACCAATCCTTTGGGCCCATACCACTAAACCATTAAACCATTAAATCATTAAACCATTAAACCAATCCCTTTGCCCCATACCACTAAACCATTAAACCATTAAACCATTAAACCATTAAACCAATCATTTCCCCCTATAGAGAGAGACACAACCCTGTATGGGCCGAAAGCATTGGTTTAATGGTTTAATGGTTTAATGGTTTAATGGTTTAATGGTTTAGTGGTTTAGTGGTTTAGTGGTACGGTGGCATGGAGCCAAAGGACTGGTTTAATGGTTTAATGGATTAGTGGTTTAGTGGTACGGTGGCATGGAGCCAAAGGATTGGTTTAATGGTTTAATGGTTTATTGGTTTAGTGGTATAGTGGCATGGAGCCAAAGGATTGGTTTAATGGTTTAATGGTTTAGCGGTTTGGGTACATTGGGGGGGAATGACTGGGTTAATGGTTTAATGGTTTATTGGTTTGCCCTGCAAGGTATGGTCCTCAGCGCCTATGTGGCGAGACTCCGGCATAGACTCTACTTTTATTTATTTCCTAAATTATATGAACCCTTGATTCTTATGTTGTTTTCCCTTGGTTTATTACTATTGTTATGCTATTTTGCGCCTCGCCTGCATTATGACGACGACGACGGCACGGTTATAACTGTAGGCTTCGGTTATAACCGACAGGCTTTCTGAACATCTTCGCATTCATATTGCAATGTTTATGAGATCAAGCTAGAAAGTCCCTGTTTATGTAGTGTTTGAGCAGCATGAAGCGAGCTGCTCATGTAGCTGGTCTCATGGAGATTAGTGGCAATGGCAAGTGCATTCTAGAACTGCGACAGATAGCCCCGTCCACGGTGAGTGAGTCTAATGGTGCAGCATCTTCCAACGAAATGCAGGTGCCAGACTCTGCAAAGCTTCTTAGTGATGTACAAAATGGAGTAGTGCCAGTCCATATTACCAAAGCCAGCGTCACGAAGAAGGATATCCAGCAGTATATCAACTACCTTCAGCGTGATGCGGGAATACTTCGACGAACCAACGGAGCGTGGAATAATGCACTCCAACAACGACTATATGCATGGCTACTCAAGGAAAAGAAGGGCGCAAAGACCAAAGCGATTATGGACAAACGCCCTGACGTGGACGACAAGCAGAAGGACGTTGTGGACAAGAAGCACAGCCATAAGGATAAGGACGTGGACATCTACATCGCGGACAACGACAACAACAACGGCAATCAGAAGAACAAGGACGTGGACAAGGACACCGTGCACAAGAACCAGGAGGACAAGGACGTGGACAAGGACATCGTGGACAAGAACCAGGAGGACAAGGACATCGTGGACCCGAGCCAGGCGAACAAAGACGTGGACAAACACAACGCGGACGAGAACCAGAACGGCAACCACAACCAGAACCAGGAGGATGATGATTCGGATTCTTCTTCATCTTCGAGCTCCAGTGATTCGAACCGCCCGCTTCCCGTAGTTGACACCTCCAGCTGGAATTCCGATTGGCACGATACGTGGGAGCATGTTCTTACCCTGTCCAACCAGGTTGATTCTGGACGCAAGCGTCGTATCTTGATTTCAATGCTCCGTACCATCGCCCAATGCCATACACAATGGCACGAGGAGCGTTAATCGCCATGCAGTCGTTCTGTCTTCCCGCGAGCCAGCTTGAAAAAGTTTGACTTTGCATTG